GGGCAGAGGCCTGCAGGGCGCGACCATATGAGAAGGTCAGGGCCCAGGGCCTGTGCAGAGGACACTGGTTCATGGYGTTCAGGTTGATGGAGGCTTCCTCCTCACTCTGGCCACCAGACAGGAAGGTAATGCCTGCACARGAAGATGAGAAGATGACGAGAGTTGAGCAAGACACAATTTGAATGAATGTCACGAAGTCTATTCAATGAAGGACCGAATGTTTTGCAGACAGACAATATTYTKTGCATCCAGCTCACCAGGAACTGCAGGGGGCACAGTGCGGCGCAGGGCAGTCACGGTTGCCATKGCAATCTCCTGGTTGCTGTACTTGTGGGAGCAAGAGTGTCCGGCRGTAACCATGTTGGGCTTGAGCAGGGTGCCCTCCAGGTACACATGGTGGTCGGACAAAGCCTTGTAGACGGCAGCAAGGACCTTCTCAGTGACGTACTGGCACCGCTTCAGGTCGTGGTCACCATCAGGGAGAATCTCAGGCTCGATGATGGGGACGATGCCGTGCTGAGGAAGAAAAAATCAAAAATGATTATGTTGATCAGAAAGCTRTGGGATTTAAGGGATTTCTGTCTTACCATCTGGCAGATGCTGGCATAGCGGGCCAGGACATTAGCATTCTCAAGGATGGCCAGTTTGGAGGGAGTGTGGTTGGATATCTTCAGCACACAGCGCCACTTGGCAAAGTCAGCACCATCCTTCTTGTACTGAGCGCAGCGTTCATACAGTCCATCAAGTCCTGTGAAAGAGGGAGAGGACACAGTGGATATGTTAGAGAAGATACTGATAGATTTTTCTTTTTGTGTACAAATCTGTTCTTTCGCTCACCCTGGGTGGTTGTCTCGCCGTTGGTTCCAGCCAGGGGGACAACGCCTTTGTCAACCTTGATGCCAACCACCATCTTTCTCTCTTTCAGGTACTGGGTGAAGAGTTTGCCAYCGTCGGTCTTCTGGTACATGGTCTCGTGGAAGAGAATGACACCACCAATGCAGGGGTCGGCGCGGTCGTCAGCGGTGAAAAGGAGCTGGCGGTACAGCCTCCTGTTCTCCTCAGTGTTCTCAGCATTGATGCTCTGGAAGCGCTTGGCTACGCTGCCTGGRGGTTGTAGAGACAAATGATGGCTTAGTCCAGATGTGAACTGCACTGGCATGTTTGACTGTGCATATGCAGATATTTGCAAACAATTTCCACTTTTTTTTTTGTGTGTGATTTAATTTTAAGACTGTCAGTCACCACCCATAGGTGTGATCCTGCAAATGACTGGCTGTTGGTCTTTCAAAATGATTTGGGCTGAACAGTTTGTGTTATGTGATCAGGGAGTCATTGGTGCCAACTTAACGACTTTGCTTTTAGATTTATTGACTTTTTGGACCCCAAAAAGTCCAGTGATTAAACAAACCTTACATACTCTCTATAGAGGTGTCCCACGACAGCAAATGTGGACTTTCTCTTTGTACACACACCTGGTAAATGAGCAGGGCCCTATTTTACACCCAGTTCAAAGCGATGCCAATTGCAACCCTATTGTCTGTGCTGTAGTTTCAGTCTGACATGGTTGTCATTTTCCTGTCCTGTCCACGTTGTTGATATAGCAAACACACTTGCACCCAAATGAACACCCCATGGATGTGTTAAAATGACCTTTTTGGTCATCTTTTTTTCTGCTGTTAAACTAACAAAAGTAGATTTGGACCTGTCGCCACAATGCTTCTTGTCAGTACATCGTAATGAGAGTACCTATATTAAAATGCTCTGTAGACCCTTTTTAGTCTTGTTGCATAACTTTTGTCCTCATGTATGTCCCTGCCACCTTTATTATTTGCATCATAGATATTATATAGTTTTCTTCTCAGATTAAAGGCTGGCTGTCCTAAATGACCAATTGGCATTTTTAAAACTATGTAAAGTAAATTGATTTTTACCGGTGGATTCGTCTGCGGCGAGGATTCCCTTGCCGGTAGCGACGATCCTATGAGCAATATCGCTGAGCTCCTTCTTCTGCTCAGRAGTGAGGAAAGGATATGCGTGAGGCATCCTGACTCTGGAGAGGAAAGGATGAGATAATAAGGAATCATTTGGGAAAACAGAGGGTTAAATAACACAAAAGGGATAATAGACATAAACATAGTAAAGAGGACTGTTACAGTAGTGGTGTAAAATAAGGGCCTGATCATAAAGTTTGATTTGTTCCTGCATCAAACCAGCTGGAGCTCTGACCATGTGGTTGCAGTTGTCGCAGCTGTAACCACRGTCATAACATTAGGGACTTTGTGTGCTGTGGTTACACACCGTTCCCCAGACACAAAATGAAGCAGCAAAAAAGGGATCCAGTGTCAGAGAGCCCCCCCCCCGTCCTACTCTGCCCCATCCTCCATGTATCTCACCAGACTTTTTAAGTTATGACAGGCATGTGGTTGACCTATTCCATTTTCTAGCCTCTTATCCTTGACCTTTCTGTTCCCCTCCACTGCTCCTTCCCTCCTCATTCCTCCTACCCCCCTCTCAAACTCCACTATCAATAGGCCAGACTAAATATACATTGCAGAGGATTTAGAACTCTGTGACTCTGCAACAAGGCATTATGTGAAAGAGAATTGCGCAGGCTCACAGCCGTCATGGTTCAGGAACCATTTGCCATGATTTGACAACCAAATGTAGACATTTCTACTGAACTAGTGAGTCACTACTGACCATGATGCATAGGAAACTATGCATCACACAAAGACGAGAATAGCAATGTCTTCAAAAATTAACACCGCTCGCTGGTTTTAAAGTTGTGGCTGATCGATGTACGTGAAAATACAAATTACTGAGGGAGAACTGTCACTGTGTGGAATGCAGCGCAAGTAAAGCAAGGTATTAGTTGTATTATTGAAAGCACAGAGGTATTTCAGTCCATCAGAGATAAGTAAGACAACATTTGCTGTGGATTCAATTTGACATGATATACTCTGGCTGCCTCAGTAACCACAAGTGTGCTTCAGCAGAAGGTGAAATGTCACAGCTCTAGCATGTGTGAAAGGTTTTCGCACCTCATGCCTTTAAAGAACAAAAACTTCAACAGGTTTTACAGAAAGATAATCATTGTAATCATTGCATCTGTGTGTTCTGTTCTTCTACCTTTGAGTTTAGGAGGAGAGCTGAGAGAAGTCAGAGGGATGGAGAAGTTCTGGCGTTCGTCTGCGACAACCACTCAGCTAGCTGGCCCTTGTATTTATCCTCCCATTGTGACCCCTCACATTTCAGCTGCCCGGCTATATTAAGAACAGGATGCAACCAGAGCTGGCCCATGACATTCAGAGGGGTCTGGGGCTGGAGTAACATGGTAGTGAGCGGCTAGTGAAAGGGCAAAGAGTGTTTCAGTGAGCCACACAGAAAGCCACAGAGTGAGGAAGAGTCGACCTTGTGTGAGAGGTGGAGGAGGAAGATGGTTTTAAGAGAGTCGTACAAATAGGAAGGTAAATTTATAGAAGATATCACACAGAAATATTCAACAATGATTCAAATTTGGAAAAAGGAAAATTTGCAAACTGCTGAATTCTGTAAACTGCATTTTTATAACTTTATTTAGCAATTTATAATTGTTAAAGTGCAGTTTGTTACTTTCTTAATTTAGAAGTGCATTGCAGCATCCAGAGGTCATTTGAAAGGGTAAATGGAAAGGGTATATATGTAAGAACTTTGGGGTTTATAAAGTATGTACCAATAACACACACACACACACACACACACACACACACA